ATTGGGAGAAGGTTTGGCTGTGGAACTGATATGATCCAAGCTACACTCTTAAAAGATGCCTCTAGCTGCTGTGTGGGGACACCAGAGGGCAGGGGCCAGAGGCAGAAGCAGGAAGACTATTTAAGAGACGTGCAGTTGTCGCTGTGAGAGGAGACTCCCTGGACTAGGATGGTGGTAGTGGAAGTGACGAGCAGTGGTCAGGGCCGAGTGGAGCCCATGGGCTGGCTTGGATGTGGGTGGAGATGGGAACTGAGAATCTGAGATGGCACTGAGCCTCCTGGTCTACCACCAAACGGGTGGTCATGTCATGAATGGAGATGGGGTGAAGTGGGTTTGGGCAGGGATGGGGGGACTTGTCATTCAAGTGAGATGTCTGGTTGGCTATATGAGTCTGGAGGGAGACTGAGCTAAAGACGCAGATTTGGGGCTCATCAGTGTTCAAAGCTTTGGGTCTGGAAGAGGTCACTTGGGGACTGAACGAACATAGCTAGAGAAGATCTGGGGTTCCAGGCGGAGCCCTCCACATTCTGAAGTTGGGTAGGGAAGAGAAGCCACCTGAGGTCAGGGATATTGACGCATCCAGACCACAGCGTTGAAGAGGGTGTCCCTGTTGTGTATTCCTTGCCCATCTCCCCCCTGCCCTTTCCCACAGGTACGTGTATGACCACATTGGTGGGGAGCACTCTGAGGTGATCCCAGAGCTGGTGGCCTCAGTGGCCACATTTGCTGTCACCACTCTGTGGCTTGGGCCTTGTGATATTGTCTACCTGTGGTCAATCCTTAACTGCTTTGGCCTCAACTTTGAGCTCTGGGTGCAGAAGCTGGCAGAGTGGGGGCCCCTAGCACGCATTGAGGTGAGCAAGGCAGGGCTGGGGTGGGGGGTGGCTGGGCTGTTGCTCTCTGAAGGCTTCCAGGCACACTTGGCCCCCAGTCCAGAACTCTCACCACCACCCTCCTGGTCTTCAGGACAATGGCTCACCCTGTGGGTATCTGGCCCTCCCTCCCTTCTGTGGGGTGTGGGGCTCCCAGCCCTGGCTATGTTGGTCAGGCCCTGCCCTCTCTCCAGACCTCAGTTTCCCCATCTTTAACAATGAGAGAGAGAGGACTCTCAGAGACACAGGCATATTCCAGGACCTCAGTGACCATGTGGGCAAGGGCTCTGCCAACCCTGTCCTCTCTCCCCTGGGCCTCTTGCCGCACTGACGATGCTTTCCTGGACCGGGCAGGGCTCTCTGTCGGAGCAGATGTCCCGCAGGGTCCGGGCTGTCTTTGGGGCCGTGAACTTCTGGGCTATCATCATGTACAACCTTGTAACCCTGAACAGCCTGGAGTTCACAGAGCTGGTTGCCCGGCGCCTTCTACTCACAGGTAAGGGACGGGGGGGTGGGGACACACACAGAACCAAGCAGCAACCTGGATGACTGTGGCCTTTTGAAATGCCCCTACCTCACCACAATTCCCTGGGGACTCAGCAGGGAGGGCCCACTGGGTGGGAGAGGCCTGGCGAGAGAAGGGTCACCGAGGGGGTCGCTGCTCCCAGGCACCCATGGCCTCTTCCCTCCACAGGGTTTCCCCAAACCACGCTGGCCATCCTGTTTGTCACCTACTGTGGTGTTCAGCTGGTGAAGGAGCGAGAGCGAACCCTGGCGCTAGAGGAACAGAAGCAGGACAAGTTGAAGCCGGAGTAGGTGGGAGGGGGAGGGATGGCTCTGCTCTGCGCAGCCAGTCCTGGGCCCAGGCCAGGCCAGGCCAGATGGGGCCTGACGGAGAGAATAAAGGACTTTTCTACCAGTTTGGCTAGTCCCTCCCTTCCCCCCAGCAGTCCCCTGGCTCCTTGTCTGTGCTGGATGAGGAGCTGCGAGTTCTGGGCCTCTTGTCTGTGCTGGATGAGGAGCTGCGAGTTCTGGGCCTCAGGGAGAGGGGTCAAGGTCTTGGCGCACACAGGGTGTGGAGGAGACACCCCGTGGAGGGCAGAGACCACCAACCTGGGGAACTAACCCAAAAGCTGAACTTTAAAGCCCGGAATCTTCAAACTAGCTAGTCGCTGACCCTTGGAGCACCAGCTTCCAGACCCTGAGCTGCTTGCTCAGAAGGCACTTTATTATTCTCACAGAAGGAGATGTACCTGCTGCAGGGAACACTCGGTGGGGACCGTCCCCACCTGACAGCGAGGACGGGGTCCTGTGGGGAATTTACTGGCACACGCAGATAGGCTGGGGCAGGGCCAGGATGCAGCCTGGGATACATCCCTGTGGTTCTGGCTCAAGGATGGAAGCCTGGGGGATATGGAGACACTGGAGAGGCCTAAAGGTCCTCGGCCCTGCCCCAAGGCTAGGACTGGGCAGCTGTTACCTTCCCTGGCTGAAGCAGCCTCTCAGACCCAGGTGGGCCCTGGCCTCTCCCAGCCTCCTGCCTGTAGTCCCCAGAAGGCCCAGCCTGTGTGGGCCACAGGATGGGAGGATGCTTAGTTCAGGAGCCCCAGGCTGGTCACATCTTGGTCAGGCGCAGCACGTTGAGCCGCACAGGTAGGAAGGTGGCGCCGTTGGCGTAGGCAATCTCCCGCAACACACCCTCCCATTTCTTCTCTTCCTCGTTGTATCTGCGGGTAAGACATGAATGAGGAGCTTGGTCATCGGAGTTCAGAGGGGACCCAGCAGGGAGGGGTGGCTGGGTGCTCTAGGCCCACCCCTAAGGAGTCCCCCCCCCACGCCGATCCTAGCCCTGGAGGATTCCCATGCCCTGGGAAAGGGGCTCCCACAAGACTCACCCCCAAAGAACACCCACCCCACATTCCAGGAAGGGCCACCTCCCTCCAGGAAGCACCACATCTTCCCTTGAGATACAGAATTTCCCTGCTCAGCCCTCCCAGAAGCCTCCCCAACTCCCACTCTCCCAGCAGCACTGCCCCCTGGAGGCTGCCTGCAGCAGTGGGAGAAATGCAGGTTCAGCAGGTGCCCCAGGTGGTCGAAGCCTCTTCCTTCCATCCCCCAGAAGGACCAGTGATGGAAAGCAATCGCTCTGTGAAGCTGGGGTCCAGCAACTTCTCAATCTTGGCCCCAGCTCTCCCCCAGAGCACCCAAGAGGGAGGGGAGAGGAAAGGCCTGGTGCCCCTCTATTTGGGAAACTGTTTCCGTGGGTCTGTGCCCTGAGCTTAGGGTTAGCTCCCAACTGTGACACTGTTGAGGTCCCACAGTGGGGTAGGGTGTCATGTGTGCAAACCCAGACTTTCCCACCAAACTGGAGAGAGCTAGGGCTGAACAGGGTCTCTGCTGTCTCTTCCCCATAGGACTCTCTGGGAGAGGGACCAGCTCTGCCCCCAGAAGAGCCCACAAGGTGCCTCAATGCCCAGCTGTGATGCTGGGGGCCATCAGCCTTGCTCATGATCCCCCTCACCTCCCTGGGGCCAGGCTCACCTCCAGATGTCATTGAGTTCGGTGGGGACCAGCTCCCCAGACTCGGTCTCCAGAGTAGCAAAGCCACCAATGGCATAGAGGGTGCCAGCCAGGCTGACCAGGCTGAGCGAGCTGCGCTCCTGCGGGAAGGCCTCAAAGGGCGCCCACCTGGAGGGGGTGAGGAGCGTCAGCAAGCCCAGGAACTGTCCCACCCCAGCGCCCACAGCCTCAGCTGCACCCTCTGAAATCCAAGACCCAGGTTCCCAGGGTCTCGGCACAACCTTCTGCTCTGGACATTCTCGGGAATGCCCGCCTGGTGGCCCTGCCCAGACCTCAGAGTGTCCCAGCCCTGTCCCCTCCCCCTTCCCTCCAGTCTTCACTTCCTTTCCCATTCACTTGCCCCTCCCACTTCCCTTCACTGTCCCTTTAACATTCTATCCAACCTGCCCTGAAATCCACCACGGATCTCCCCAGTGTCCCTCCTTCACTCCTGAACCACCTCCCACTCACCAGCTCAGTGGTGATTAAGCCCCCGACCCCTTTGGACTCCTGCCCTGACCCCCCTTCTCCCACAGTCCAATTACTCTCAAGGTGTCTTCACTCCCTTTCCCTGGCTCCTGAAGTTAAGCCTTCATCCCCACCCTCCACAACTGCTCTCGTGTCCCCAGCCACCACAGGGCTCAGAATTCGAGGCCCAGGGCACACACCTCTGCTGATGTGATTTGTTCCATAACCCACCCCCAACCCCACCACCACCCCAGCCTCCACTCCTCAGACTCCTTCCTGGATAATGTACCTGCCCCCCCAGTCCCTCAGGGCCTGTGCCTCAGCTTCTCCCACCACACCCTCTCTCCTGAAGGAGCACGTCCCTCCATCTCACCCTCCTCAGCCCTCACCCCCAGGCACCTCAAATCCACATGTCTAACTGGATGGACCCTCACTTTTCCTACCTAACCCAATGGTTCTCCAATAAATGACCTCCCTCTCACTCAAAAGCATCCACTTCTCCCACTCACCTCCAACAGCCAGCCAATCCCTATATCCTATTTCTTCTACCTCCTAAATTCCTGCTACTCAAAGTGTGGTCCATGGACCAGCAGCATCAGCATCACCTGGGCCAGTGCCTGGTGTGAGTCTCTCTGAATGAGGAACCTGGCATCTCCTACCCCACTCCTAGGAGCTCTCTCCTGGTAACCAGGCTGGCCATAGCCCTTGCCCCACTTTGTGCGGGAAGCCCGCCTCACTACTGATCAAGAGAGAAGGGTTATTTCTGTGCTGATGTCCAAGCTCAACTGTGAAAACCCAAGACAGGGGCTGTGCTTCCCTCCCGGGCTGACCCAGAGAGGGCTGGCACAGGCCCAAAGCCACACAGCCAGGGGGCTCCAGTGAGGCCCTCAGTCCCTGGCTGTCCTGCCTGGGGCAGGGAGCAAGAAGGGAGGCAGGCGGTCATACTTGTTGTCTGTGATGCTGTACACCTCGACTGAACTGGTCAGCCCTGTGTCCGTGACCCCGGCAGCCACAAAAATGCGGCCGTCATGGATGGTGGCCCCGAAGAGTGATCGGGCAGTCTGCATGGGTGCCAGCTCCTTCCACTCGAACTTCTTAGGGTCATAGACGCACATCTTATTCAGGCACTTCCTGTGGGGTGGGGGTGGTAAGTGAGTGAGGGGGCAGGAGCAGGGCCCCTCCCCTCCCTCGGCCCAGTCCCTGCAGCTGCCTCCCCAGGCAGCCGGGACAAACGTGGGACAGCCTCTGGGCGATGCAGCCCTGCTGTGCACCCGCCCCAGGCCCGAGCCTCACCTGTCACTGCCTTTGCCGCCAATGACGTAGACGAGGTCCATATGGGAGACCACCACGTGGCCGTACACCGCATAAGGCAGAGGGTCCGATTCGCCCCATTTGAAAGACCTGGAGGAGAGGGGGGAGGGCAAGCCACTCAGTCCTGTCTCTGCATCCACCCGCCCGCCCCACATGTATTGGGGTGCCCCCGATACATTACCAGAACTCCCAGACCTTCATTTCTTCGCTCCGTCTGGCCTGCCA